GTTATTTTTTTAAAAAAAAAAAAAAAAAAAAAAAAAAAAAAAAACAATACCCGAAGGGAGCATCCAAGAATAAATAACAATGGAGGCTTGTAAACATAAAAATCTTATTTCTACATAATTGAAGTCACAAATAATTTCATATTCATGTTTTTATTTGGTTATAAACCGCTGTGGATATTTTTAAAATTTAAATTGTATTAAAAAAATAAAACAAATAAATAAATGAGACTAGAAAATGAGGATATTTTAATTCTGTCTCGTAACAAACCCTACTCCAATTGATGTATATGAATCAAGGCTATTTCTTTAAAATTATCCTCTTCTTGGGAAAGTTAGCATCATTAGTTACATGTGGATGAGGATGTCTAATCTGATACTTTCATCTAATCTCTAATAGAACTCCTGGTCCCTTTCAAGTACATTATTATCTCCAATATTAGAACTATAACACGGTAAAAGTTACTGAATTTTTTTAGCGAACAGTGGCTACAAAGGTAGGGCAACCAAACGTTGCTAGATAAAATACGGCTGAGCACGGTCCGGTTCAGCTCGATTCTAACAAGAATCAAATTGGACAAAAAAATTTCGGTATTTAGTAAGTGGAACCATTGGGTCCAAATCTAATTATGAAACCGTTCAGGTTCGTTTCCATTCAGTTCAGTTGTGTTCAGTTCGGTCCCATTTGGTTCCTAAGTTCTGTACTATAATTAATTCAACTAATAACATGTTTAATTTAACTCTTACAAAATAATGTAGTGAAATCTTATGTATCTTTTGTGTCTTTCTTTATTGAGTTCCTCATAGATTTGATTGTGAAAATTATAAGAAGAGGACGATAAGAGCTTACAATAATTAAGACAGGCGTTGTCAAGTTTCAATTCGATTTTTCTAAAACGATAGGAACGGCACTATGGTAGAATAACAGATTTGGGTAAAACTTAGGGCAATTTGATTAAGTTGGGCTTGAACTTAAAATTAGAAATATGAAAATCATATTTTAGGGTTAGCAAATTTTTTAGAAAAAAATAAAATAATTTGGCTAATTTAAAATAAATAAATTTAAAAAATGAGGGAGTTTTGGTTCTTCGATTATTAATCTAGAATCGAGAACCGAACCGACCCCGTTGGTCCTTGATTCAAATAGCCGTTCGATTATTTAACTTAAGAAGAATTGCCTGATTCAATTCAATTCGGTTTGGGACTTTTGTCCAACCCTAAGATAAACTATTGTGTTGG